AACAAAGGTAACCTTTAAAAAAAAATGAAGTTAAGTCAAGACAAGGTAACAGACAGTAGAACTAGGTAGTCAGACAGTAAGACAAGGTAGTCAAAAAATAAGACGTATAGCCTAACAGTGAGAAAATGAAGACGATATAACGGATAATATAAGGTAGCCAGGTGGTAATACAAAGTGACAAGACTGTAAGACAAGGTAGCCATGCTGTAAGACAATGTGACAAGACTCTAAGACAAAGTAGCCAGACCGTAAGTCAAAGTGACATGACTGTAAGACAAGATAGCCAAACCTTAAGACAAAGTGACAAGACTGTAAGACAAGGTAGCCCAACTGTAAGACAAAGGGACAAGATTGTAATACAAGGTAGCCAGACGGTAAGACAAAGTGACAAGGCTGTAATACAAGGTAGGCAGACGGTAAGACAAAATAACAAGACTGTAAGACAGGGTAGCCAGACTGTAAGACAAAGTTACAAGACTGTTATTACTGAATTACAAGATATCGCTAGTGCAAAGTGATGGGAGGGAGCTTCATGGAATTCTACTTCCATGGGCCCACGTTCTGGAACCAGCTCCCCTTCCATATCCGTCATTATGAAACCTCGTCCACTTTTTAAAAGTCCCTTAAAACCCATCTGTTTAGGTCCGCCTATGACCTGTGATGCACCCTCCTTGCCCTGCCTCATTTTCTGTCTCGGGTTAATCCTGTAGTATAGGCCAAAACGTGCCAAAGTGTCCTCGTTTTATAGCCATTTTAAATATGACCTGTGATGCACCCTCCTTGCCCTGCCTCATTTTCTGTCTCGGGTTAATCCTGTAGTATAGGCCAAAACGTGCCAAAGTGTCCTCGTTTTATAGCCATTTTAATTGTTTCTATAGTATAGTAGTTCCTATCCTAATGTCTCATTTTTATTTTAGTTAGTTTACATGTTTTTAATAATTGTAAAGCGCTTAGAGCTTTAAGGTAAGCGCTATATAAAAATGCCTAAATAAATAAATTCACAAGTATGACCATATTTTCTATTGTATGTCACATGAAATAGTGTCAGATTATGAAAATATCAAACCCATTACTTAAAATTAAACGGAGATTTGTAAATTATTTAAATTGAGTTTGCCATTTCTACGACCCGAAAACGTCACATCGCATGACGTAATTTTGCTATTTTTATGTAGACATAGCCTCTAACAAAGCATTTCCGCATTTATATAGCAGCAGCAATTTGTTTGTAAAATCTTTCGTAAAATGAAGTTGTAAACAAATTTTTGTGTAGAATATGCTGGCTCCCACTAACGTAGAAGTACCGAACAGCTGTTTATAAATTGCCCAAAGGAATACCGGGAAGCTCAATTAATATATTTATTAGATTGGCCAGGCTTTCTGACCGGATGTTCTATTAATAGACTTATGTCATTAAATGACAAACCGCAAACTTGTTTGATGTGGGGTTGAATTTCATTAACAATACTTGTTTCGGTGAAATTGCACTATACGATATTTAAAATTATTTGTGGCGTCATACATTTCACCAAATTTCTATTAAAAAAAATAATTTCTAGTGGATTTATGTGTCTTTATCAGATAGCCTCTCAGGGACAGCCAATGATACTATTGCCATGGCCAAACGCCTCCAGGAAAGCCAAGGTATATCACTTCAACCTCTGTAACCTGATTAACAATTGAATTTATGTATTTCAATAGTACAATTTTATTATAACTATATGAGTAAGAATTTAACTGTCTCATGTTCGTGATTAAGGTGAATCTCATGTTTAATGTCAAGGTGAATCTCATGTTTAATGTCAAGGTGAATCTCATGTTTAATGTCCCTGTGAATCTCATGTTTAATGTCAAGGTGAATCTCATGTTTAATTTCAAGGTGAATCTCATGTTTAATGTCAAGATGAATCTTATATTTAATGTCAATGTGAATATAATGTTTAATGTCAAGGAGAATCTCATGTTTAATGTCAAGGTGAATATCATGTTTAATGTCAAGGTGAATCTCATGTTTAATGTCAAGATGATACTCGTGTTTAATGTCAAGGTGAATCTAATGTTTAATGTCAAGGTGAATCTCATGTTAAATGTCAAGATGAAACTCATGTTTAATGCCACGGTTAATACTCATTTTTAATGTCAAGGTGAAACTCATGTTTAATGTCAAGGTGAATCTCATGTTTAATGTCAAGATGATACTCGTGTTTAATGTCAAGGTGAATCTCATGTTTAATGTCAAGGTGAATCTCATGTTAAATGTCAAGATGAAACTCATGTTTAATGCCACGGTTAATACTCATTTTTAATGTCAAGGTGAATCTCATGTTTAATGTCAAGGTGAATCTCATGTTTAATTTCAAGGTGAATCTCCTGTTTAATATCAAGGTGAATCTCCTGTTTAATGTCAAGGTGAATCTCATGTTTAATGTCAAGGTGAATCTCATGTATAATGTCAAGGTGAATCTCATGTTTAATGTCAAGATGAATCTCGTGTTAAATTTCAGGGTGAATATCATGTTTAATATAAAGTGGAATCTCATAATTAATGTCAAGGTCAATCTCATGTTTAATTTGAAGGTGAATCTATTTTTTATCAAGGTGAATATCATATTTAATGTCAAGGTGAATCTCATGTTTAATGTCAAGGCGAATCTCATATTTAATGTCAAGGTGAATCTCCTGTTTAATGTCAAGGTTAATCTCATGTTAAATGTCAAGGTGAATATCATGTTTAATGTCAAGGTGAATCTCATATTTAATGTCAAGGTGAATCTCATGTTAAGTGTGAAGGTGAATCTCATATCTAATGTCAAGGTGAATCTCATGTTTAATGTCAATGTAAATCTTATGTTTAATGTCAAGGTGAATCTCAAGATAAATGCCAAGGCGAATCTTATGTTTAATTTCAAGGTTAATGTCATGTTTAATGTCAAGGTGAATCCCATATTTAATGTCAAGGTGAATCTCATTTTTAATGTCAAGGTGATACTTATGTTTATTGTCAAGGCGAATCTTATGTTTAATGTCAAGGTGAATCTCATGTTTAATGTCAAGTTGAATCTCATGTTAATCAAGGTGAATCTTATATTTAATGTCAAGGTGGATCTCATATTAAATGTCAATGTGAATCTCATGTTTAATGTCAAGGTAAATCTCGTGTTAAATGTCAAGATTAATCTCATGTTTAATGTCAAGGTGAATCTCATGTTTAATGTCAAGATGAATCTCATGTAAATATTAAGTTGAATCTCATATTTAATGTCAAGGTGAATCTCATTTTTAATGTCAAGGTGAATATAATTTTTAATGTCAAGTTGAATCTCATGTTTAATGTCAAGGTGAATCTCATGTTTAATGCCACGGTGAATCTTATTTTTAATGTCAAGGTGAAACTTATGTTTAATGTCAAGGTGAATCTCCTGTTTAATGTCAAGGTGAATCCCATGTTTAATTTCAAGGTGAATCTCATGTTATTCAAGGTGAATCTCATGTTTAATGTCAAGGTGAATCTCATGTTAAATGTCAATGTAAATCTCATGTTTAATGTCAAGGTGAATCTCCTGTTAAATGTCAAGATGAAACTCATGTTTAATGTCAAGGTGAATCTCATGTTTAATGTCAAGGTGAATCTCATGTTTAATGTCATGGTGAATCTCATATTTAATGTCAAGGCTAATCTCATGTTTAATGTCAAGGTGAATTTTATGTTCATGGTGAACCTCATGTTAATCATTAAGGTGAATCTCATAATATGGTTAAGTTGAATCTGATGGTTATGGTTAAGGCGAATCTGATTGTCATGGTTAAGGACGAATCTGATGGTCATGTTTAATGTGAATCTCATTGTCATGGTTAAGGTGAATCTGATGGTCATAATTCAGGTTAAACTGATGGTCATGGTTAAGGTGAATCTTAAAGTCATGGTTAATGTGAATCTCATAATCATGGTTAAGGTGAATCTCATGGTCATGGTTAAGGTGAATCTGATGGTCATGGTTAAGGTGAATCTGATGGTCATGGTTAAGGTGAATCTCAAGGTCATGGTTAAGTTGAATCTCATGTTCATGGTTACTTGTGTTTATGATTAAGATGAACCTCAAGTTGAAGGTTACATGAAATTTATAGGAGCAACTAACTAGAATTTTTTTTAAATATTCTTGCAGATGTTACCAAGCTATACCTCGGTAAGCATTTCTAGATGTTATTGTTAAGTCTTGCTTATCTTGTTTCTAACTCTAACACAAAGGGGTTCCTTGCACCAATTTTCAACAGCTGTAGCACAAACTAAAAACTGCTACCATTGAAATATTTATTAATGTCGCATGTCAAGATAATTTGAACAAGCAAGTCAAAATCTAAAAATTCTGAATTAATTTTGAATTATTCACTTCTGACAATATATAGTTTGCGTTAGCAGCAAATATTATTTTCTAACTTGTTCAATATATAATCTAAACAAGTTAGGGATATCATCGAGACTTCAACAACACTATATATTTTTAATGATAATTCTAGAAAAAAATATGTCAGGGGTGTAGATGTTGTTTGTTTGGAATCTGCTATAGTGGACTAATGGACTGTGCGGTCCGGATAGACAACAGTTCGAGGGTTGCGCAAGCATACAATGTGTTCAGGAGACGAGCATGGGCTGAACTTATTTTGAGAAGTTGCTATCTGTGTCTTAATATTTATTTTTATGCTTTATGTTTTGAATAAAAATCATAAAAATATTGCAGAATCCAAATTTATTTTAATATGTTATCGGTAGGTAAACCTACCAAGTTTTGTGAACATCCATAAAATTCCCGTAGAACCATGTGTAGTGTATTGCTATCCTATCCTACTGTTATTTCTAAAGCTTATCTATAGAAAAATGAAATTAGGCACCCCGGGCACGGAAGTGGTAAAATGCATCCGTTCAAAACACACCAGTATTTAAATATAGCAGATATATCGCAGAATCATTCAACTTTTTAATAATTTTTTTTTTTAAATTTACATTAGGGCCCTACGAAGTTGAAGTGAGCTGTGGCGGTGAAGCTGCCGTAAACGCGAAAAAAAGCAGCTGCAAGAAGAATCCGGGTCATATAAACTTCATTCCATTTGAACAATTCAGCATTAGTGACCTGCCTGACCGTTACAAGGAAGCAGACGACATGTACGACACCATTAAAGCCTTGGCGTCCATCACTGTATTAATCAACGGGGCATTTATCAGTCAGGACAGGCCCGAAAAACTCAGTGATGGAACACTATATCCGCTTTTTAACAAAGCCGGTACAGCCGCTGTACTAAACGGGACGGGTAAGTTAACCCACACAAAGGTATACACGGAAGAAGATGACAAGGCGTGTCCGTGTCAAGACTGTAAATTAGCGGAAACGCCCGTGAAGAAATGGGGGACGATTGCCGTGTTTACCGCCAAGCATGTGATATTTGACGACAGCGAGGCAGCGGCGGCAACTTTTGAGATGACGTACGAGCACGCAAGAGAAACAAAAAAACACATTCTGAAAGGTGTCTGTCTTGAAGACTGCGACCTTGATTTGGACTGGTGTAGGGTGACATGCGTCGAACACGACACAGAGTTTGTCAAGTTCGTGGACAAGACATTGATTTGTGGTTATGAAAACAGGCATAACGACATTGTAAAGAAATACTTGCATTCGGAGCCGCGAGGAAAAGGTCAGATGGTAGTGATCGTCTCCCACCCCCATGGGTGTGACAAGCTAATCAGCGTCGGGGAATGTGTCGAAAGGGAGGAAGTTATGTGTGTGTTCACTCATCTATCAACGAAGTACAAGTACACGACAGCCACATGTCCTGGCTCGAGTGGAGCACCGGTTTATGTGGTCAAGCCGTGGTTCTCTAACCACACACACAGCGGGGCAAAGGAAGAACTCAACTTTAGTTCCAGTCATTTCGAATAGATTGACGGTTCTCAACCTTGAGGTCTCCTGGAGCTAATATTATTTCAAGAAGCTGACGTCACGTTTCAGACAATAACATTTGGATATTTTATTTAGCAAATAAATTTTAATATTTTTGGGTTTTCTAAAAACCTTAACCTGAATTAAGTTGAACTAATTCTATGATGATAGGATGACATAATGATTTGATGATATTATGATATGATTACATGGCGTTATGATGATATGATGACATGATGATATGCTGGCATGATAATTTGATGACATGATAAAATGATGCTGTGATAAATTAAATATATGATGACAATAATATGATGACATGGTTATATGATGACAAATGATTTGAAGCTATGATGACATGATGATGTGATGACATGATGATGTGATGACATGATGACATGATGACATGATGATATGACGACATGACGAGATGTTTCTCGGTTGTTTATGTCAAAGAATGTACGTAAATTTCAGTCAATTAATGTCTAATTCTTCATTTTTAAGTTTTGGCCATTTAATTCAAAACAGAATATAATAAATATTTTTGTGGACATTTACAATTTAATTCAAGTGATATAGCAGCAATACCTAGATCCAGTAATGAATTTAATGATACTAACTTAGCTAGTGGATGGTCATGTTCACCTCTGATGGTGCTTCAGTAATGCTGGAAACATGCAATGGTGTAGGGGATCAAATGAAGCTGTAAAGAACATACTTAGTTGAACAACATTGCACCACTCATCATAAGGAGTTAGGCTTATGTGATCCATAGACAGAGTTACAACTAATGAGAGACATTGAATCCTTGATAAGAAGAGTTGACACGTTAGTTAGCAGATTATAAATAAAATCAAACGCAAAGTCCCATAAGAAGTTTTTGAAAATGATTCTGTTAATTTTAAACACTTCAATGGAGTCATGCTGTTGTCTAGACATTTTTGCTGCAGCAGATCTTGTCGAGAGTTAGAGAGGTGAAACATCGAGAGTTTGATAGAGAGCGAGGAAGAGAGAGGTAATAGTATAATATGTCGAGAGTAAAATAGAGAGCGAGGAAGAGAGAGGTAATAGTATAATATGAAGAGAGTTTGACAGAGAGCGAGGAAAAGAGAGGTAGTAGTATAATGTGTCGAGAGTTGATAGAGAGCGAGGAAGAGAGAGGCAATAGTATAATATGTCGAGAGTTTGATAAAGAGCGAGGAATAGAGAGGTAGTAGTATAATATGTCGAGAGTTTGATAGAGAGCGAGGAAGAGAGAGGTAGTAGTATAATATGTAGAGAGTTTGATAGAGAGCTGGGAAGAGAGAGGTAGTAGTATAATATGTCGAGAGTTTGATAGAGAGCGAGGAAGAGAGAGTTAATAGTATAATATGTCGAGAGTTTGATAGAGAGCGAGGAAGAGAGAGGTAGTAGTATAATATGTAGAGAGTTTGATAGAGAGCTAGGAAGAGAGAGGTAATAGTATAATATGTCGAGAGTTTGATAGAGAGCTGGGAAGAGAGAGGTAGTAGTATAATATGTCGAGAGTTTGATAGAGAGCGAGGAAGAGAGAGGTAGTAGTATAATATGTCGAGAGTTTGATAGAGAGCGAGGAAGAGAGAGGTAATAGTATAATATGTCGAGAGTTTGACAGAGAGCGAGGAAGAGAGAGGTAATAGTATAATATGTCGAGAGTTTGATAGAGAGCGAGGAAGAGAGAGGTAGTAGTATAATATGTCGAATGTAAAATAGAGAGCGAGGAAGAGAGAGGTAGTAGTATAATATGTCGAGAGTTTGATAGAGAGCGAGGAAGAGAGAGGTAGTAGTATAATATGTAGAGAGTTTGATAGAGAGCGAGGAAGAGAGAGGTAGTAGTATAATATGTAGAGAGTTTGATAGAGAGCGAGGAAGAGAGAGGTAGTAGTATAATATGTCGAGAGTTTGATAGAGAGCGTGGAAGAGAGAGGTGGTAGTATAATATGTAGAGAGTTTGATAGAGAGCGAGGAAGAGAGAGATAGTAGTGTAATATGTCGAGATTTTGATGGAGAGCGAGGAAGAGAGAGGTGGTAGTATAATATGTAGAGAGTTTGATATAGAGCGTGGAAGAGAGAGGTAGTAGTATAATATGTCGAGAGTTTGATAGAGAGCGTGGAAGAGAGAGGTGGTAGTATAATATGTAGAGAGTTTGATAGAGAGCTAGGAAGAGAGAGGTAGTAGTACAATATGTCGAGATTTTGATGGAGAGCGAGGAAGAGAGAGGTGGTAGTATAATATGTAGAGAGTTTGATAGAGAGCTAGGAAGAGAGAGGTAGTAGTACAATATGTCGAGATTTTGATGGAGAGCGAGGAAGAGAGAGGTGGTAGTATAATATGTAGAGAGTTTGATATAGAGCGAGGAAGAGAGAGGTAGTAGTATAATATGTCGAGAGTTTGATGAAGAGCGTGGAAGAGAGAGATAGTAGTATAATATGTAGATAGTTTAAATTGATATAGAGCGTGGAAGAGAGAGGTAGTAGTGTAATATGTCGAGAGTTTGATGAAGATCGTGGAAGAGAGAGATAGTAGTATAATATGTCGAGAGTTTGATGAAGAGCGTGGAAGAGAGAGATAGTAGTATAATATGTCGAGAGTTTGATGAAGAGCGTGGAAGAGAGAGATAGTAGTGTAATATGTCGAGAGTTTGATATAGAGCGTGGAAGAGAGAGGTAGTAGTATAATATGTCGAGAGTTTGATGAAGAGCGTGGAAGAGAGAG